TGAGTTCGGAGGTGGCTGCCACCATTGCCTCCTGGCCCTCTAGGGAAGCTGAGACCAGTGGGGAGCCCCGAGCACCCCCCAGGAGAGGCTGGGGGATCCCAGCCATGGCCGCCAGTGCTTCTGATTCTGGAGAGGCTGGGGGAGGGATGATGCAGAGTGATGTGATTACATCATTCTGTCATCCCACAGAAAACATTTTTTATATTCGGAGGTGGCTGCCACCATTGCCTCCTGGCCCTCTAGGGAAGCTGAGACCAGTGGGGAGCCCCGAGCACCCCCCAGGAGAGGCTGGGGGATCCCAGCCATGGCCGCCAGTGCTTCTGATTCTGGAGAGGCTGGGGGAGGGATGATGCAGAGTGATGTGATTACATCATTCTGTCATCCCACAGAAAACATTTTTTATAGATATATAGAGAAAAGGAATTGAAGAAGCTATGTCCCAAATCTTTCACTAATCTCCGCCTGCACAATACCTGCACAGTGCCCCAATGACTTCAGTGGTTGAAGGGGTCCATGTGCATTCAACTCAGTGCAAGATTAGGATCTATGATGAATTTTAAATTATTGATCACTAATATTCTCACCATTATTGTTACTTTTATGAAAGTTTATGCTATTGTTTCTTTGATGGTATGTTTAAAATGTAAGTTAAGTTTCAATGATAATAATACAATTGCTGATGCTCCACACAAAACTTTGCAAACATTCTATTTCTCTCCTATTTCTCTATATTTGTACATCACCTAGCACATTATCACATTGTGTGGCATTGTCACAGTTCAGTACAGCTCCACCTGTATTCCCCTGTAGTCCACCAAGGTCACCCACTCTGTGTACAGGCTCCTCAGTTGTCACCTCACTTAAGCAAGACCTGTACCTCGTTCCCTCCTCACTTGAGTTTTTCCCAGCTGCCTGAAGTTTTTCCCAGCTGCAGAGTTCCCTGCCTACATTGTGATATTCCCTGCAAGCCTGATTGCCTGACCAGATAGGTGCTATTATCAAAGTACTATTATATCAAGTAACTTAATGGAGATAATAATAGTTTTCTGCTACCAGGACTATTGTGTTGTTTAATTAGTTCATGTTGGTAAAATGCTACTACATAAAGTACTAAGGTTCCCCACAAAGCACATCAAATCTGAAGCAGCTGTGGGCCTGTAGCTCTCAACTTTCTGGTTTTTAGGTTGAAAGTCTCTTGAAAGCTTTTTAAAACAGTGACAATTAAGCCCAGGTATTTGGGCTCCACTTCTTCCCTAGTATTTAGCTGAATATTCTCGCTCTCCTTCCCATGCATGCAGGCCTGTCAGTGGAGGGGGTATGGACAAATGGGGCAATTGCCTAGGGCCTGGGGCTGCCACTACTGCAGCAATGGCTGGAGCTCTACGCCCTGTAAATCCTCATGAGAGTCCCAGAAGACACACTCCAGGCAGCACTGAAGAACTGTTGGAGTGAGGCTAGCCCCCTCCTCTGTCCCTGCCCCTTCCATCTGAGCCTCCCCCCCCAGCCAGGCCCCACCCGCTCATCTTGCCCTGGAACCCAGCAATTTTATCTGCCCTTTGGCATTCATTTCATATACAGTGCACTGCAAGGAATCTTCATTAATCTTCCCTAAAATCCCAGTGCATAGTGGCGAGTAGGAGTGTCTTTCTTCTGAGGGTTGGAGAAAAACATTGTTTCCTAGACCTACCCCACAAAGCTGTCTTGCTGTAGCTAGTGCTATAGGAAGCGATTATAAAATAGGGTACCATGAACTGACCCAAGAAGCTTAATAGTTGTACTGTGATCATGGCAGCTAAACGAGCTAAACAGCTAATCCATTGTTATATGGAAGGGTCTGATCTACCAAACCCCTCACTGCCTGTTCCACCCTGTGTACTGTGGGAGGGAAGTAGTACGCATGCCCTGTTGCCTCTGCTGGCAGAGAGCTACCTTGCACTGGGGGAATTTTCAGATGGCAATTTCTATCAAGTTTAAGTCCATTTGAGCAGCACAAAGTTGACTTTGTGGTTTGGAGAATCTTATTTGTTGTCCTAATACATGTTTTCCCTCCCCATTTAGTAACAAATGCATCTTGAAACACAGCATGATGGGAACACCAACAAGTATAAGGCCGCTTAATAACGTAGCATCTGGATTTTCACTAAAACCTTGCCAACTGTCTCAAACAGGTAACAATTTGGATTTTTACTGATTTAACTTAGAGTGAAAGGAAATGGGATGATATGACGTCATGTGTACACGAGTCATATCCATGACATAGAAAGACAGTTGTATCAACTCATTCCTTTTTTTAGATACTGTAACTAGTAATCTCAGTCAGCAAACTTCAAACAGATTCTGACTCGTAACTTTCCTCTCTTGTCATTGCTATGGGATATCCCTTCTGAGATAAAGATCTAAACATTTTGCTCTTCTAGATGGAGTTTTACCTTACAATTTTTCTAAGTCAGAAGATTGGGAATATATTATAGTTTGCTGCTTCATATTATGTGCAGTGTACCCACAGGGTGTTGCTCCAAAAGTGCTTAAGTCAACATAATTTGCAGCATTAAAGGGTGTGAAAAAACTAGCCTCCAAGCAACATAAGTTGCATAGACTTAAAGTGCTCATCCACACTGTGTTATGTAGACAGGAGAAACTCTCACCTGACACTGGCTTTCCCTTCTTATTGAGGTGGAGTAATTATGTTGATGGGAAAGCGCTCTCCCATTGGCATAGCTTGTTTTACCAGATACACTACGGTGGCGTCGCTGTGATTATGTAGTACAGTGGATTAGCTGTTGGAGACTTTAAAAGCAAGCATAGCACTGACCAGAGAATGCTTTCTGTAGGCAGCCTGTTTTTAAGCCTAATGTACCATTTGAGTCTGTTCCTAAAATCCAGGCAAAATTCTCAGATCTGCAGGCTAAGGGTATGTCTAAACTACATGGCTCTGTCGACGGAGCCATGTAGATTAGTGTACTCGAAAAAGGAAAATGAAGTGGCAATTTAAATAATCGTCGCTTCATTTACATCAAAATGGCTGCCGTACTGTGCCGATCAGCTGTTTGGTGTCACAGCCCGGTAGTCTGGACACTCCGCGGTCGACAAGGGAAGCCCTTGTCGACTGCCCTAGTAAACCTCATTCTATGAGGCATAATGGGGCAGTTGACAAGGGCAGTCCAGATTACCGCGCTGTGCTGTCAAACAGCTGATCGGCACAGTACGGCAGCCATTTTGATGTAAATGAAGTGGTGATTATTTAAATCGCCGCTTCATTTCCCTATGTCTAGAAACCTCATCTACATGGCTCCGTCGATGGAGCCATGTAGTCTAGACATACCCTTAGATTCTGGGTATTATTCTATCCTGTTCTTGATTGTAACATTCTGCTTCATCATTTTCCTTATCTCTCTCGTCCTCATATTGTCTGGCACTCTTCTCTCTTTTGTCCTCCTCCTTCATGTGCTATCTTAGTTCACAGTTCACAGATTCATAGATCACAAGACCAGATGGGATTTCTGATAATCTATCTATACAGAACTCCTGTATGAGAGACCATAGAACTTCCTTCACTAGAAAACTCTCTTACTAATTCTAACACCATTTTGCCCATCTTGATCAGTCTGTTATTTGTCTTTTTCTGTACTGGAATGGCTCTGCTAGTCCCATTATTAAAATATTATCTGGAGATGATCTCAAAAATAGTGTAATCCACCTCTTCATAATATTAATCTGAGCAATGATGACACTTAAATGCAGAAGATAATGAAAAGGAAGTATGGAGTAAGGGTACAAATAATAGAGAAGATGTTAAGAGGTATCATGAGTACTCATACCAACTATACAGAAGTAGCAACTAAGGAATGACCTTTTACATTGTCCAGTTTTAGTTTATATTAGATAGACACACATGCACACACATGAATATGGAAGAAATTCTACTGACATTTCTACTGACAAAAATGAGAAAAAAATTGAGACCAATTTGAAATCTTATCAAAAGAATTGCATGAGTTATTGTAGTTGTGATGTCACAAAAAATAGGTATCACATCTGTTCTGAAATCAAACTAATAAATATATTTGTATTTTTTGTTTTGTTTCTTGAAATGAATGAAAATGAAGGCATTCAGAGATATCTTTTTAAGATTTTTATAAAAATATGATTTCTTATTAAAATCTTGTGATATCCTTCAAACACAGGGGAAAAATAATAATGCTTGTACATAAATGCATCCCAATATTCTGATATCAGAAATAACTAGAGTTTAGATAATTTCTTCTTCTTTTATACAGATTGTCGTTTGGACATTTTTCAACACACAGAATTTTCAGGAATTAATCTTACAAGTGTTTTCAGCCCAGATACATTAGTATGTCGAACAACTTGTACTTATTATCCAAGATGCTTATTCTTTACCTTTTTTACCAGTGAATGGAAAGTAAAAACTCAAAGGTGAATATAATAGTTAATTTTTAAAATTCTGATGAGAAATATTAAAATACTTATGTCCATTTTAATAACAAACAATAAAAGTTCTATTAACATAGCTAAGGAAATGCTCATTAAAAGGTAATGCTCAGTAAAGTATAGCTTTATGCATGTTTTATTCATATGTGTAGGTATCAAAGGGGACAGTTAATCTCTCAAAGGATCAGGTTCTTTCTTCTGATGTGCACAGGGAGCTGTTATTGAAATCACTTATCTAGAGACCTGTACCATAAAAGTCAATCAGGAAATACCTATCAAAAAGGGAATAATCTTCCTATTATCCAAAATAATCAAAATGTGAACCCTTATCAATTTTTTAAAACAGGTTTCTGAAGCTAATCCCTCTATTTAGGCTTCAGAGCCCGAGCTCCAGTCCAAGCCGCAATTTTAAAGCTCTATCTTCACAGCTATTTTTTGAGCACTAGTGAAAACCCCAGTTGCCCAAGGCTGTCAATCCAAATGGGGCAAGTTGGTGCTACAAGTGGTGTAGACATATGCATAGAGTGTATGTGAAAAAAAACTGTTGAAGTTGCCATTTGAAGGGTGCATGTGCGGACCGATGAACAATACTTGTGACGGACCGGACCGGGTCAGGGCACAGCTGAGGGCGTCTGCTCAGGGCGAATTGCTCAAATTCGGGGCTCCTTATAGCCCCCAGACTGGAGACCCTCCCAAATAGGGTACAAACCAGTCCCACAGAGCACTTCATCTGCCTGCCTGAAGCCTCATGAGCAAAACCTCTCTGACACTCCAGCAATATCCGTGCCCCAGATGGTCCTGGGCCTCAGACACAGGTGAAGGGTTTTAGAACCCAATCCCACCTTCCCGAACAAGTTCTGTCCGGTTCCAAGAAACCATCCACAGATCCCAGGTCAATTTACCCTCTCGACCTTACCCACAAGCTCACGCTGAGCCAATCTTTTAGAATCTATGGTCTAAAGGTTTATTATTACCAGAAAGAAAAGCATGGGAGTAAGGTTGTTAAAGTATCATACATTACATGCATCAAATCTCCCAGGTCTCAATACAGGCTCGCAGCAGAGATGTTATAACTGCTAGCTTAAAATTATTTGGTGAACATCCTACGTCAGGATGAGTCCACAGTTCTTTCCGGCTCTTCAATCCCTGCACTGCTGCCTCTGGGATGAAGGGCTGAGCTGAGCACCAAGATGGAGTCGGCCACATGGCATATTTATACCCCCTCCTGGCTTCGTCCAAGCTGGAGGGAGTCACATGGCCAGTGGCCAGGTGTGTTTTGACCTCCAGAGGTCCATTGTTCCCTGGAACTTTGTTCATTAGCATGCCCATGGGCAAACATTCTTGACCCATTGCTCTTTCAAGAGACTCTTTCAGCATCAACACAGAGTACATATTTATAACTTCACACACAGACATTATACAGGTATATGACGAGCATATACAGAATCAGTAGAAAGTAAGCTTTTGTTTGACACCTGGCCCCCTTTGTACCAACTTTTGGGACAAACACCCCTGCCCCGGAGTGAAGCAGTGATCTGGCTGCTCCCCTTAAAATCCAGTAACATGACAATACTGTTTTGGAAACTCCTGCTTCGGGCACACAGCACATATGATAATCTTCACTGGAATACAGGCAGGGACCACAGGTCTTAAAAGTACCCACCTCTTTCCTTGCAAAGCAAAGGCTGTGGATAACTTAAACTCACCCTTTGTTCATAAACAGTATTACCTTGCAGTTTTGAATTGCATAACTGCATGCCATTTCACAAAACACTGCCATGCACTTTTTTCTAGCACTTTAGCTGTTGAAACATGGAACCTTAGAGTTCTCTTGGTGTCTTTTTATATGGAATTATTTTTGCAAAAATGTAAGACAACATATAAACATATGAAGGAGTGTACCTTGCTAGGACTTGGATGTGCTTCTGTTTTGCAAACCCTTGGTAATGACAGGCCAGATCCTCAACTGGTACAGTGCAGTGCTTTGCCAATTTGTACAATGGCTAAATTCCCTAGAGCCAGATTAGGTCACACTAAATTGCACACACTGGGAAAAGGGGGAGATTTAGTTTTGCACCTCAGTGTTATGACATGTTCAGTGATTTAATACTATTGTAAACTTTTCTTTTAGAAATCTTTGTCTTCTTAAGACCTCAAGAAGTGGGGTACCAGGTGACCGTGTAGAAAGAGAAAATGCTATGTCTGGTTTTAGTCTTCTAAACTGCAGAAGATCTTTACCCGGTAAAGCATGTGTTACAATAAAAAACATCGTCAATTTCAAATGATTAATTTCAATAAGCAATAGAAAATTAGTCTGAGAATGGAATACCAGTGAAGGGTGTTGATTTATTGACATATGCAATGTTAATGCTTTACAGCCTGCCATTCCCGCACTTACATTGACACACACTTTTTGGGAGATGAATTGAATGTTACCTATGTTAAAGGAGACAAAGTTTGTCAGCAAGTTTGTACCAACACAGTCCGCTGCCAGTTTTTTACTTATTCATGCAACAAGGAAGAGTAAGATTTGTTTTTAACATTTTAAAGTTTGCTGAAGAAGTCATACAGCAAGAATGTTAGGTAAAAATTATAACTTAATCTATATATTAATTTTGTTGACAGTAAATGCAAATGCTACTTGAGAATGTCCTCAAATGGATCCCCAACTGGAATAGTGCATGAGAAAGGAAAGATCTCTGGCTACACATTAAGGTTATGTAAAAGAAAAGCCAGCACTGGTAAGCAAAAATTCATTTAATAAAGTTTTGCTGAATTAATGGACAAAATTCCTTGATGGGGGTATAGCTCCATAGACATCAATATGAATAAATGTAATTACTGCTATTGCTCACATACATGCTATCTACTCCCATCAATAGTCCTACAAACTGTTATACCACAAGAGTAGGAGTGGCAGCATCTGGTGGTAAATATTATGCAAGGCATTAAAACAATAGATTTACACTGAGATCATACACATAAAGAGATGAAAAATCAGTAGGTATCATCTTTCCTCTTAGTACTTAGCTGATGCTCTAGAAATTCTACTGGGGGTGAAATGTTTCTAACATACAGTTCGTATGTCATTTGCAGAACCCTTTCAGACCTTTTGGGATACAAACTGCTAAATAAAGCTGTATGGCCTTTTAATTCTTTCTGTAGTGTGCATGCAGCCACCAAAACAAGGTGAAAGAGTTGTTGGAGGGACAGTCTCTTCCCTTGGTGAATGGCCCTGGCAAGTGAGTTTGCAAGTCAAGTCATCTACTCAGAAACATTTCTGTGGAGGGTCAATAATCAGCAACCAGTGGATTCTAACAGCTGCACATTGCATTGATAAGTGAGTACTGCTTATACAGACATGAATTAGAGTAAGATCTTTCTGACACCATGTGAAGTCTCACTTGACACCTGTCTTTCAAAAAATATGTATAAAGAGCAAAAATGAAGAATAGGGAGGAAGCAACTGTTTTAATGAAACCAACAGGTAAGATTTTTTTAAAGCAGAAAATTCAGGTTCTCATAACAACTGGCACTCTGCAACATGTTGAGTTTTGGTTTGCTTCAGCACAGCATCACAATATGGGCACTGTTATTTCATATAAGACGACATTTCCTTAGCAATATTTTCAGATATTTATAATGCCTTTAAAAAAACCCCAACCTGAAAACACCCATGCTTGTTTTCAGCTCAATGGTGTATTTCACTGGAAAATGTTGTTAAGTTCTGTGTGACTACTGTATCGAGATTGTGAAAAAATGTATTTTTCACAAAATTTTTTTTTCCAAAAGATGTACTCTGATGCCTTTTACTGAAGACAAGATTTGTCATAGACTTAAGACATCAATGGAAATTGTTATCTTTGACATGTTTAAAGAAATTTTGCCTATTGATAAAATATTGAATAATTCCATAGTGTTGAATGTGAATGGTATGCTAATCCTCTGGGGTTGCTCTAATCTGTTCTAACCTATGACACCTGGAAATAGCCCCTAGGATCTGGTTGGAAATAGAATCCAGCAGCATTATAGCTATCTGCTTTTCTCCTCATAGCACCCCCCCCCCCAACTTTGGCTATGAGACATAGGAACTAGCTCTTTGCTAACTGAGGATTCTACCATGCTAAGGGAATTCTCAGACAGTAAGTTCTGGTCAATTTCCATTCTGTTTTTGAGCAGTGCCCCTCAGAGATTCTGGCCAACTCCATTTAAAACTTCCTGGAAACAGGGACTTACTTTATAACTAATCTCTAGAGTATAATTACTCGGATGTTATATTTGAAATGCTCCAGTTTAAGTGACTCATTGTAGCTTGTCCCTCTTCTAAAATTTCTTTGCAAGAATAAGTTTTTATGTTCTATTAGTTAGTGATTTGTAAAACTACCCTGGAATTTAGTGTAGCCAGCAAATACCGAATGCTGCAGTATATAGAAACATACCTTTAACGGTTGACAAATTTTTGAGTGTGCATGAAACCATTAATATTTTGGAAACTGGATATTCAGCTGCTCCCTTTGCCTCATTGTGTTTACATTTTTTAAAAGCAGCTAATCCTGTCCATTACTGATAAAAGTGCTGTCTCTGTATACTGCCCCAGAGCTGTGGGAACCATGCTGTATAGGAAGAAGATAACAGGTGACAGGCCCAAAAGAAAGATAGCATTGATCCAGAAACATGGGCACCTTTAGTCACATGGAACTCAGAATCAGTCACTTTACTCTGAAAGTTGTCTTAGGAAAGGCTGTCAAACTCTGGCCCAGAATGACAAGTCCAGTGGTATAAAGATTATTTTTATATGCATGGTATCAAAAGTTTATAGGAGTAGAAACTAATCAATATTTTAAAAGACAAGAGGGCACTCTATTAAAAAAAATAACTGTACTAGGTTGATGGTAAATTAGTTAACTAATATTTGCCAGTTCATATATAAACTGTTAGTAGAATATCAATTTAAAATCATTTATATTACTTAATGTATGCACTTACTGAACTTATAACAATGACTTAATAATATAATATCGAAATCAAATATTCTCAAAGTCACTAGTACATGCACTCATATGAAATTTGAATCTAGAAATGAGTGGGAATTTTTCATATTACTTTATACAATTACGTTTTCTCCCTCTATCTTTACAGTAAAATTTTAGTGAAAAGAGTCATCTTTATATTAGATGTATCCTTGAATATAGTCTACTGGAATTTACATTTCCAATTCTACTTTGCCAAATAAAAATGGTACACTGAAGTCTATGGGAAGACTTTTGGACCAGCCCCTTAGAAAGAAAATAAGGAGAGAAGAGAATTCTATATCTATATCTATATCTATATCTATATCTATATCTATATCTATATCTATATCTATATCTATATCTATATCTATATCTATATCTATATCTATATCTATATCTATATCTATATCTATATCTATATCTATATCTATATCTATATCTATATCTATATCTATATCTATATCTATATCTATATCTATATCTATATCTATATCTATATCTATATCTATATCTATATCTATATCTATATCTATATCTATATCTATATCTATATCTATATCTATATCTATATCTATATCTATATCTATATCTATATCTATATCTATATCTATATCTATATCTATATCTATATCTATATCTATATCTATATCTATATCTATATCTATATCTATATCTATATCTATATCTATATCTATATCTATATCTATATCTATATCTATATCTATATCTATATCTATATCTATATCTATATCTATATCTATATCTATATCTATATCTATATCTATATCTATATCTATATCTATATCTATATCTATATCTATATCTATATCTATATCTATATCTATATCTATATCTATATCTATATCTATATCTATATCTATATCTATATCTATATCTATATCTATATCTATATCTATATCTATATCTATATCTATATCTATATCTATATCTATATCTATATCTATATCTATATCTATATCTATATCTATATCTATATCTATATCTATATCTATATCTATATCTATATCTATATCTATATCTATATCTATATCTATATCTATATCTATATCTATATCTATATCTATATCTATATCTATATCTATATCTATATCTATATCTATATGAAGAAATGTAAGGTTCTGTTTTTGACCTTTAAAGCTGTAAATGACTTAGTACCTGAGGCTGTATCTCAACTGCATCCCTTTTTTTCAATAAAAGATATTTCAATAGATATTACAAATGAAGCTGAGATTTAAATATCCTGTGCTTCATTTGCATAATGGCAGCTGCTGCTTTTTTTTTCAAAACGGGGCTTTTTCGAAAAAAAAAGCAGTTTACATGGGGCATTTTTGACAGAAATACCTCGTTTTGAAAGATCCTGTACTCCCCGGTTTCATTTGCAATATCGACGTGCCTAATCTACATCCCTTTATTGAAAAAGGGATGTAGTTTAGATACAGTCTGAGAAATTCACTCTTTCTCCATGGTATACCACAAAGCTGAGATTTGCAGATGTGGAGTCCCATTAGTATAAATGGGCAGGATAGCTGACATGGCATAGTCTGTCAGGACACTACAGATATGGAATTTGCTTCTCTTCTTGGTCTGAGAATTCTGATTACCTGCAAGTCTCACCAAAAGGCTCATTTTTTTCCAGGCATCTGAAAATGGGGGAACTAAGTTTGCGGTCAAGAGCAGCTATATCATAGAGAATTTGTATAATACAATATAATTTAATTGAAGGAACACATATTTAAGTATGTGACATTGTGTTGAAGTAAAGGATTCGCTGAACGTTCTTCAGAGATTTTGGGGTACTTCATTTGAGATTCCTTAAAGGGGCCTGGTTCTTGAAAAGTTCTGACCATACACTCTCTGGGTATGTCTACACTACCCTCCTAGTTCGAACTAGGAGGGTAGTGTAGACATACCCTCATAGATTAGTAAGACAGGATTTCCCTTTACAGAAACCATGTTGACTTTTGTCCAATAAATTATGTTCTTCTACGTGCTTCACAATTTTATTCTTTACTATTGTTTCAACTAATTTGCCCGGTAATGAAGTTAGACTTACTTCGGTACTGAAGTTAGGCTCAACAATTAATGTAATCTACTCGCGCGTGGCGAGTAGATTACAAGCAGGCATGGCCATGCAGCATGGTGTGCGCATGCACAGCGTGTGGAACCGCGTGGTTGGCAAGCAGGGCTCGCTGCCGCTTGGCGAGCCCTGTGTGTGTGTGTATATATATAATATATGTGTGTGTGTGTATGTATAAACAGAAGGGGGAGCTAGAAAGAAGATGAAAAAGTATCTGGAAGAATGAGAATGGGAATATAAAAGAGAGGGAAAGCTGATATAAAGATAGGAATATAAATGAGAAGAGGAACAGGAGAAATGCAGAGCAGAGGAGAGGGAAGAGCTGAATCTCTTTTAAGTTTGACACTATGAAATACAACAATGGAAAGATTGGCATCATTTCTCTCTTCTGTGCACCCAGAGATCATTGAAAATGTTGGCATCTGCAAACAATATGAAATGGTGAAATTATGTGAACCTGAGATTGCTTGTTTGTCTTTTTCTTTTAGTCTTGAGATTCCCAACCTTTGGCGTGTTTATGCTGGCATTTTAAAACTATCAGAAATAAAGGAGGACACACCTTTCTTCAGAGTCCAAGAGATTGTTATTCACCCTCAATATGTGATCGCAGAGACTGGATATGACATTGCCTTAATGAAACTTGATAGGTCCATGAATTTTACTGGTACATAGTAGTAAAATTACATTATAGTAAAATTACATTATAGTAATTTACAGTAAATTACTGTACTGTAAATTACATTATAGTAAAATTATTTATCTGAATTTGGAAGCCTGGCAAGACGACCTCATTGTAATTTTTCAGGACTGCTGTGCATTAAGCCAGGTTTCCTTTACTCAAATACACAACTGATGGGTTTAAAGGGGAATCAGAAACTGGGAATGGCTGAGAGGGGATGAATCACTTGATGGTTAATTGTTCTGTTAATTCCCTCTGGGGCATCTCAAGTTGGAAGACAAGATACTAGGCTAAATGGATCATTGGTTTCACCCGGGCTATGTCTACACTATGCGTTTTTTCTGGGATACTATACGTATCCCGGAAAAACTCCACCACATCCAGAGAATGCGTCTGCTCTTCAGCTTTTTTTTGCGGAAGATCAAACGTGCCCTTTTGGAAGGCCTGTCTTCCTCCTCCCATGAGGAAGAAGGGCTCTTCCAAAAGAGGAGGCTTTTCCAAATTTTGCTCAGTGTAGATGCGGAGCGTAATTTGTGTACCTTTTTCCAATAGAGCATTGTAATGCAGACATAGCCCCTGTGTGAGTGTGTGAGCATTCTTATGTTCTTATGAGTCTCAACCTTAAACAGGAACCTGTCCACCTTAAACAGGAGCATAGGGGCACTGTACAGTGTGCAGAGAGAAAGCCTAAGGAGAAGAATAGCATCAGGACATCAATGAATAGCATCAGAACCTTGATGTTAAATCTTTCTTCCGACTAAACTAATATTTTAACAACATTTTTAGATTTACAATGGCCCGTATGCTTGCCATCAAAAGAAGAAAGAAATACTGTTTATACGAACTGCTGGGTGACCGGATGGGGTTACACAAAAGAACAAGGTACAGACATTTATTTAACCCATGAATACCTATCTTTCCAAGGATAACCTGTGAATAGGAATTGAGGCTGCATCTACTCAGAGAATCTGTGCACATGAATAAGATGATTCCTAATCTATAGAATGACTCTTTGGATTTATACTGTATGCAGTGTGTTTTAGAAGCCTTACTGTTTTTACAACTCTGAGTGCAATTCACTACTTCTTGTGTTACTTCACAGTGTATGCTCAGTGAATTCCCAACAAGTCACAAAAACACCTGACATTTACTGATAAAAATGTGATAATGAGGTAAATGATGTCAATTTGCTGGTACGTAGGATATCCATGACATAGTACATTCATCTAGCTACATCTAGGACTTGGTCCTTCAAATACCTAAGTATTTAGAAAAAAAATATTTCACATAGAGCTATATTGAGAACCCCTTCCTCACCCTAACGAGCAGTTATTCAAGTTAATATTTCCCCTAAATCCAGTGGGACTGCTGCAGACCATTGTGAGGAGATGGTTTACAATCTAGCCTGTTGACTCAAGATACTTCAACAAACCTCCACTGTCATGGCAGGAAATCGGGTGAGGGATATGTTAAATAAGTGAATTAACTATTTTGAAATAAGATATTTCAAATTAACGCTGTAGTGTAGACATACCCATAGAGATAGCACGTCTATATTATGGAAGCCTTCCTCGGACTAATTTTGAGGCTTCCCAGTAGTGTAGACATGCTATTTCGAAATAAGCTATTCTGGAATAACTATTCTAGAATAGCTTATTCCAAAATAACTGCGCAGTGTAGACGCAGCCTTTCAGCAAAAACAATGAGGAGCACTAGGGCACCTTAAAAAAAAGATTTATTTTGGCATAAGCCCACAATAGCCAAATACATTTCTTACTCTTTAAGGTGCCACAGAACTCCTTGCTGATTTTGCTTATTTCAATGTTACATGTGTCACTTTTGGTTTTATTAGCGGCACATTCTTCTTTCACATTGTGATGAACAGATTCAGGGATAAGGTGTTTTTAAAGAAAATTATATCATGGACTTTGTTACAGTTATTGTCACCAGGCAACCACTATAATATAACCCCAATTTCTTTTAAGCTCCATATAAAAAGTTTGACTAAAGTCACTAAAGTCACAAGAAGCCCAGCAGGCTTGCAGTGAGCCAGGGGGTAGGGTGCGAGGTTGATGGGCAGAGGCCAAGCCAGGGGAGGAGAAGAGAGGGGGAGCTGGGGAGGGGTCGGGGGA